GTGCATAATCTTTTCCTCCCAGGCATATAAAAGGAAACGTTGTGGCCACCATAGAAGAAGCTAAAACTCCTTATGCTGTCTGTTTGTTCTTTAAGTTGTGCAAGTAGGGATCTCTGCAGCACATAAGGGAGTTTTTCTTGTCTGTGTGCGGAGTTTGTCGTAACTATGATTGGGGTGTACTTCAGTGTGGGCGGGGTTTGTCCTAACCGTAATTGGCAGAGTCTGATATTTAGGTTTTTGGGTGGGCAGAGTTTAGCAAAACTGTGATTGGTCATGTTGACTTGTCTTGTGGGACAAGTTAAAAGAAGTAGTAATGGTAATAGTAAAAATATTGTGATGTAAATTAAATTTATTGAATGTCTATTTCTAGTTCAAAACAGAACAATGTCTCAAAATTATTTTGAACATGTAAACATAATTTATTGACCTCAAATTTGGTGCGACTAGCACCTTCCTGTTTGTAGTTATGACTAATATTAATATTCATAATAAAAAATGGGGATCTTTTCCAGGTGGGTTAGGGTTGTTTTGACAAAGCTGTATTGTTACGCATCCCTCCACATGTACGGCGTTCAAATTTCAAGCAGCTAGCACCTTCGTGTCTGTGGTTACGACTAAAATTAACATGTTTATTTAAAACTATAGGCAATTTCTGGCTGTTCTGACCAAGATACACATCCCCCCGGCTGTCCCTAGCTTCTTCAAACCCCACCCAGTTATAGTCAGTCAAACACGTCTTTAACAAACGACGCCCACAAAAGTCAAACAGACCAATTATATCTTGTCCAATCATCCTCACAACAAGAAACTTCAACTTAGTGACTGCAGAGACTCCCTTCATGTTGGGCTTTAGCAAAATAAGGAATAAAAAATGTTGTCAAAGTAAATTTGTCAGTAGATATAATGAAAATGGGTCATTTTCAGGCAACAAAAACTCAACAATTCTCATTTTAAAAGGTTGACTCATCTACTACCACATCACACTTTATGTTGAGTTGTATCCATTGATGTGTTTAAATTTGCTCAGCTGTGGTTGTCATTTTGATTGGGTTGACTCTACAAGTTATAGTGCGGTTAAGATATTTTGGAACAAGTGTTTAGGACAGTTTATGCTTCTACTAAACCACCTTACAGCCAAAAAAGCTTGTAGGTAACCCTGTCAAAACAACAGTGAGAATTCGTAGAAGCGTGTACTTAAAATATGTTTTCTACACGTCTGATTTGTGCAGAAACATGAACATTTTTCACTTACACTGAGCCAAATCCTCGTGTCTGCCAAAGCTGACTGTGCTTTCTCACAATCGCATCACTAACACACCGTGGTCTCCTCATTTCCCAACCCAGAGGAATAGCATTGCGAAACCAACACAGACTTCATTTTCACTCGTCACAGGGTTTCTTATAGGCCTCCATATCCTCCATCAACAAATTACATGTGTGTGATAAAAGCATGCACAAACCACAGCTTTCCTTTATCCAAAGCAGCAGGAGGSTTCAGGGGGATGCTTCCACTGTGGACACTGTGGGGTAAAGACATGTATGTGTGCGTATAGGTTGAAATGATGGGAGTATGGAGTGTATTAAGAACCATGTAAATAAATGTCAATTGGAAAGTCAGTGAAACAGTTGGAGAGAATGCAGCAGCCTCTGCAGATCTGTGGGCTGTGTTAATATTGTCAGCACCGTGTCTGATTGAGGAGAGGAGGAGATGGAGCCCAGCTTGTGGGCAGCCACCCGGATCATATTAGCAGAGGAGTGTACCCAGAATCAATTTCTACATGCTTTTACTCTCGACAACCACAGCTGCCTGACTGCTCCCATACTTGCAAATAGTACGTGGCAAGGCAAGCATGTGGTCAGACACGACAATACATRATAAAATCACACGATTAAATGAATTTATTGAGCTGTGTGTGCAAATCAATTAATGTTTTCTCTATGCCTAAAAATACAACCATGGTAACTCATTGAGCTCCTTTGATTTAATTTCTTCAAGCAGCCCACAGACTCTTGGTTCTTCTACCTTGATATCAAARCACCTGAGAGATACGTAATAAATAGGTCATTATATTTACGAGCTTAGTTACCGAGGTGAGTAATGGATAGTGAGTGGTGCGACGCAGGTAAAAGATGGCGGTGGTGCACAGAAGCTTGTTTTCCTATTTGCATATTTCCATATTTGTGTGCTGGAGAGGCCATATGACTTTAAATGCACGAAGTGTTTTTTGAGTTAGTGCTACATAAAAGATCTTTGTCTGTCAGAGGGGCTGCTTGAGCCCAAAGAACATTTACATGCAAGGCAGAATCAGCAGTGAGGACTTTTAATCATTCGTTTCCATTCCAATGGTCAAAAATCCCAAACTTGACATGGAGCAACTACCTGTTTTAACTGTGTTGTAGCTAGCTGCATGCTGGCATGAATATCTTTGTCAGCAGAGGCTATTTCTCAGTTTCCCCCTCCTGCAGACAACTAACCATATTTTGGCTCCCTCATACTGACAGCTTGTGGAAATGCACATTGTAATAAAGCAATTTCCTGTATGCAAATGCCCTGTTTACACGTTCTTGCTCCAGTCATTGTCACTTGACAGACTGCTTGAATATGAGGAAAGTGGCTATACAGTGAAAAATGAAAGCAGCAAGCCTAAAAAAAAATCTATTGTATCTAGTCTTAGCTGAAAACATGTCTGAAAGTGATGTGACAGTGACAGGGAGAATCCTGAGCTGTTCCCATGACCCTGCACACATTCATAACACCAAGACCACTAGTAAAGACATTAATAACAGTTTGCTGATAGAAGAGCTTCTCCTGGATGTAATAAGGAAGAATTATAGAAATTGAAGGAATCGGAAAATGGGTAAGAGAACAAGGAAAGGCATAAGTGAGCGTAAGTGATGAGAGAAAGAGAAAATGGGGATGGTAGATGGAACAGAGGGTTACTGAAAGCGAGTGTGCTGCAGGAGACAGAATGATCTCAAGCCTCTRTGTGTGGCTTTCAGTGCTGCTGCAAGATCCACACGACCGTCTTCCCCTGGCAGCGAGGATGATGAGATGYTCTGAAAGTGCTCGAGCACACCTGCAGAGCTAATTCACAGCCTCTGATTCACTACTGCCATTCGGCGCAGGCTAAATGCAAGTCTTTTCCCACTACGGGGTTATGCATTACCTACATGGTGCAATCATACCAATCAGCATTTCTTTCTTTATGGTACACCTTTCCACTACCGCTGGAACACATTTACATAGCAGCCTGGCTGCAGCGAAGTGAGGGTGCAGTCTCATTTTATCTTTCAGTTCTTCTTGACTGAATGAGTTAAAAGAGCTTYAGTTTTCATAGAGAAGGTGCTAAAAGCTTTGATCTTCCACACAAGGTGAAAGATTAGAACAGGTGTAGGTGAGAGTAGTGTAAAAGTGTCTGCCTCACTCCTGACATTGATCCTGAGTGGAAAGTCACACTTACTTATCCTCCCCAGCCCACACATGTTAACAGAGYGCTGATAAAGGTGGCTCTGACCCCCGGGGGTCAAACAACAAGTGATCGGTGAGACACTTTCATTAAGGTGAACAGATTCTAGAAAATGAACCCAAAAATTCAATCAGCGTCTGAGTTTAGTTTCCCGCTTTAGCAGCTTACTGCGTCTCGGTAAACAATTTAATTTGTTTTTTTTTTTGGGAATTAACAGAAAACCCCTTAAAGCTGTTCAGATAGCTCTTTGTGACACACACCCACACACACTTAGAGCCTGTCATTTTTGCTTCATCCCAGTCCCCAGTTCTACAGAGATATGGAGCATCTATAGAGTGACTCGACTTTTAAACGGCGAGAGAGATAACTGGAGAACAACAGCTTCAGATTCTCATCTCAAAACACTAATATGAAGAGACGGGTGCTGGGTGCACGGGGGCAGGCAGGCATAATTAAGGTCTCTCCTCAGAATGTAATCTTTCAGGCAAGAGCCTGGGTGGAGGCGAGGGGAGGGATGACGGGAGTGCAGGGAGAACAAAACACTCTCCATCTGGGAACAGCAAGATGAAGGCCTGTGAGCTGGTATTCCGTTGGGGAGGTGAGGAGGGAAAAGTGAGGTAAATGGGAGGTAATGCTAGGCTGGTGAAGCCAGCCAGCCTCTTTCAGCTCCCCAGCTATTCAGCTCAGTCCTCTGTGGAGCCCCCATCAGAGCCGGTGACTGCTCCTGGTCCCCGCAAAAAAAAAAAAAAAAAAGATGATGGCATGAAAGGGAGGAGGGAATTGAGAGAGGGGCGGAAAAGAGAGTGGGTGTAGAAAATAATGGATGTTTGTTTATTTCACTCACAGAAAGTGAAGAGAAGCAAGCAGGGATGAAACGCTGCGATCCACATTCCTCAGACCTTCAAGTCCTGATCATTACAGCAAATTAATTCTGACATTTAAGCCTCATCAGAATTTTAAAAAAGTATGTAAATGATCAGCTTTGAGATACGACTAACTATTCAAATCACATTAGAGCAATATGTCGAGGACCTGACACTTGATTTTACAACTGTCAGCATAAATTCTCACTGCATTTTATGTGTTTACATTTGAAGTTGTCACCCAAGCCTGACAGATCCACATACTAATGCTTCCAGGGTGCAAAAATAAAATAAAATAGGAGCGCAGAATTGTCAAGCTTCATAAAAACGGGTAGTTATGAAGACGTCAGGTGTCACCAGTCTCAAAACAGTTGAGCCATAATAAATAAATAATTTACAGTTAAAGCAAAAAGTGGCATCAACAACATTAAAAAGTAGAAGAGTTATTGGTGCTCGGTTTASTTTTCAGGACGTAAACATACCTTGAAAGATGACAGCCATTTTTTTCTTATAGATGGCAAAATCGGTMTCGAGGAAGACGCAGAAAATGACCCGTGTGATCTGCAGAGAAAAAGAATGATCAGTTACTGAGCAAAGATTTCTTTTTCATGGTAAAAAATAACCTCCCTACATACAATCACTTAACACATTTGCACAAAAGCCAAAAGGGAGGCTGTGTTTGTCATCCTGCAGCCATCCTRCAGGACAGTGAGATTCTGAGGGAATAAAAGAAGTTAATAGTCCCATCCCTGATCCTAAAGGACACTCAGGTCCAATTCAAAGTGGCTTCCTCCTGCCGCTCATACAGACCTACAGAATATCTATTAATAGTTTATGACCAGGGCTTTGGAGTAAATGTTAAGAGCTGCATTCAGGACAGTAACATTTTATTTTCCTAGATGTCTTCAGGGGGCTTTGTTCAAAATATGTAGACCCACTCTCTCAACCCTTCAACCTTCATAGAAAATGAAAGAAAGGTTTAAGCCTCTTTTGAAGGCGTGGGCTCGCTGACAAACAAAGGAAAATGGTAATACTGCCGAGGTGGAGCGTACCACTGGGTGCTGGAAGGCCACAGGACAGCAGCTCACCAGGAGTTTCCATCACACTTTTGTGGCTCTTCATTCTAAAACGGATGACCGGCTGTGAAACAACATGAATCATGAAGCAATGTTTTGCATCACACAGAAAGGCCGGTGCATGTGCACACATGAACCCAGCTGACGCCGCTCRTATTTTTCCACTCCTTTCTTGTCTATGAGTGACATTTTGTATTAAAACAAACAAACAAAAAACAAAGTATGTCGTGTATATTCTCTCTGTTACTTTTAAACATCTCGTTCCTACATACAGCATGCTGAACTGCACCATGTTCAGCAAGAGGCTCAGGCAAGGTCTTTTTATTCACACAGATCTGAAACACACTGTATGGACTCTGACATGCATCAGCCAGACTGAGATACCAAAAGAAAACAGAAATGTGGGCGTAGAACATTGACAGTCTCTCTGTATCCAAACAAAAATTGCGAGTCTAAAATGAATCAGATAGAASAGATGAAGGTGATCTTTGTCCGTTTATTTCCTGAAGTATAAAATGTACCAATCTGAACTTTAAAAAGACATTTTTGTCAAACTCAGACAGCTCATATCCTCCTACAACCTCCACGCTTTGTGTTGTGTTGTCACAGGAAAGGACCAACATCAGATACGACTATCGTGTTGATCTTGTGCACTTTCGAGTCAGCCACTCATTTTGACTAGATAACACCGGCATACATCATCCCTCTTTAATTACTGCGGTATGTTGATGACAATTTGCAAGAAATAAATGACAGACAGAGGCATATAACAGTGATGAATTTATAGATAATTATTGTTATTTGGAAAGTGTAATATATTATTACCTCAGCAGAATAAAACAATCCTCTTCTGGTTAATTAGAACAAAAGTGAGCACAGCAGAATAAAAGATATACCCAGTAAATTAATTTTAGGCCTTTGAATTTAAAGCGGAGGTGTGATATTTTGGTTTAAAGCTGCAAGGTGTTTGCACGTTGAGTATGCACCCCGTAGACTCCAAGGTTGAACAAGTTAATGGAGGACTAATTAGAAAGCTTGGATCACTGCATGCCAACCTGTCCAGTCATTACTCATCCCTGATTGGAGAGGTTTTGTAGAGCGCTTAGCACAAAATGATTAGATCCCTTGCTTCTATATGAGAGAGATGGTTGAATTGACAAAAAATGTACTCCGCACAATCAGGTACAAGTCGGTGTAATTGATTTGACCACTTGTTCTTTGAACTGCGGTTGGTGAAAATCCAGCTAAAACAGAAAAAAACAAAAGACTCACTCAGACATTTGAGCACACTTTTTCATGATTATCACAGGATCCAATGCTCTTGATAGCAAAGGGAAATATCCARAAATTAATTTCACCCCTGATGAGTTACAGAAATAATGAAAAATAGAGACTAAACTGAGTCCCGAAGCTCAGTTTCAACAATGCAAACCATCCAAGAAATCTTATAATTTTGCAGAAATACACAAACAACTCACTGTGATGACAACACTATAAGTATATTGTGAAATATATTTTCTAAAAATGGAGGTTTAAGGTCTCGTTTGAATTATTTCTAGTATCCTGATTAATTTAAAACCCGTGTAGAYGAGACAAAGCTAATTAAAATGATAAAGCTCTGGGTTCAACCAATCCATTTGCAACTCATTTGCACGTAAATGACGTCCAATAAAACAAAGTCTGCGAGCGATGACTTGGTCAGCTTGTGTTTATGATCAGCACAACACAACATGAAGGTGGCATCGCTGGTTTTATTAAAAATAGGTTTGTGATTTGTAATTCGTGCGCACTCATCATTCTGGCACGGCGCTCGCCAGGTGCCGTAGACTCCTACTGGCTGCCTAACAGATGAGCTGTCATTGCTGGCCACCCATGCCCATAATTACATTGAGGGCAGCTGCAGCACAATCCAACGTGCAGAGTCGGCACGCATAGTTCTGCTACTTGCATATCCTTTTTGATTCTGTCACTAACAATAATAGGGACATGTTGCCCTAGCATGTCTGTTCCAGCTGGTGCTCAAACTCGAGGGAGATGCATGTCTACACTGTTTTCTTATTATGCTTCCAGATGGACAACAGTATCAGAACAATAATATATTATCACAGAAATAATATTTTTAGTGATTATTTGTGAGAAAACAAACTATTGAAGGGAAACTTTTCTATTTCACACATACAGCCAGTATATATTGTTTTTATGATGTACTCATCTCCAACATAAAGTGAGTGTTGTGGTCTATGACCAGTCACTGATAGGACGTACTATTGTTTGAGATGGATTGGATAATTTCAGCAAATTATTCCTGGGCCAGAAATCTCCTCATCGAAAAAGCACAGGTTCGTTGTTGCATCATCAAAGCCATAATCAGCGAGCACTCGTCTCCTTTGTTGTCAGAAGCGCTGGATTGGATAGAGGGTTYTATCTGTGGCAGGTGGACCATATCCAGGTTTTATTACTGATGTAATTACACACAGCTGTGTCCCTCTCACCACTGCTACATGCACAAAACTTGCAGTTTGACAAAAAAAAAAAAAAAAAAAAAAAACAGAAAAGAAAAAAAACAAACAACCGGGGGTGTGGCATCTCTAAACAGAGCTGTGAACACATTCAGACATTTTCAGATCCTCGTGGCCACGTCAGCACGACTCCTCATCTTCCGTTCTGCTGCTTAAAATCTGCTCGTCGCTGTGACATCCCATGTGTCCTCTCCTTTTACCAAAGATAGAGATTAGACCAGTCAGCAGCAGCCAGACAGGGGCACCTGGTACTCAGGTGAAACTGTGAGCAGACGCTTCAGTTGACTTTGACTGACCTCTCTGCTGAAAGAGCTTCGGCTTCACCCGCAGCAAACTGGAGAATTATCATTTCAAAGAAGTGCCCGCAAAAGGTTATCCCTTTGAACAAAACGCCTCCATCCATACATCAAAGGACGAGCTTGACACTGCTCTTTGAGAAGGAATGGTTACGACCGAAAGCCCMGAGGGAAACAGCTGAGCTCAAATTTGTACTTCCCAAAGTCAGTCAACATTAAATCCTCACCACATCACAAAAAAGACAAAAGATTTATCAGTAGAGTCAGCTTAATATTGCAACTATGGATAGTGCTTTTGTACAGTTATGCATAAGTGTGACTAAAYAGAATGATAATATTCTGAGAGAAGACAGGCCATAATTGTTTACCCTTTTAGCTATGCAACTGTTACCAAATTACCTCATGAGCCACAGGATAAATAAACATCTACAACTTTTAGAGCCAACTGCATCCCTGCCATAGCCTACCGACCTTAAAACCAGCTATAACTTCAGTCAATATTACAGATACTGATCTCTGGCTCTAACTGGATCAATTTTACGGATGTGGTAGTAAATTGTTCACAATTTGGCAAGATTTTTATAAAATCAACACAAAACCTGTCTAAATGCTTCAGAAGAAAGCTATAAGAATTAYAAATACACCTGATTGTTGTCATCCAACTAAWGAAAACATAGCATATTTAAAAATATGATTTAGTAGAACTTAGAATGACACTGATGTTGTACAAAGCTAAACTCCAACAGTGGYGGATCTAGGATTTTTCTGAATAAAGGGCCATCAAGGGGTCACAATATTCTTAGAGGGGCCAAATATTTATTTAATGTCTTTGTACACAAATCTCTGATTTTGGTAAGATGTATACATTTAACCAGTCACACATGTTCAAACACTTGTAATGCAATTTAAAAAAKCTTGCATGTATATTCTCCTTACAGGTTTTAAAGGCATTTTTACTATAGATCAAATATTCTCAAACACACAACRTGTAAGAAAATCCAGCYATTGTCAGTGGAAAGACTTTTCCTGCAGGATTGTTCAAATCTTAATAGAAGACGACATCTGTAAGCTTGATTCATGCCAGACTTTCCTATTTGACWCATTAGTGCCTCTAGTGTTTGAACATGGAACTGCATCTGCCATCATCACTCAGGCAAAGGACAGATGAGTGACAGGACAGGGGCACTTCAGGGGGCCATTCAGATTTCAGCTGGGGCCAATGCCCCTGTGGCCCCGCCCCTAGAACCACCCCTGCCTTCCAAGTTGTACACAGAAGTGGTTTGCAAAGTAACAAACTATGAATTTAGAAAGAAAGGTTTGTTTAAAACAAAACAAAAGTCAGGAAAAATATTAAAAACAAATGTGCTTCTTTTAGGGATTTGTGTGAAATAATTGTGCAGAGTGAAAACAGTTTTTCACAATTTAAAGAAAATGTATTAAAATAATTTGCTACATAAATACAGCAATTGTGACTGTTTGTTTGCAGATTANAAGAAAGGTTTGTTTAAAACAAAACAAAAGTCAGGAAAAATATTAAAAACAAATGTGCTTCTTTTAGGGATTTGTGTGGAATAATTGTGCAGAGTGAAAACAGTTTTTCACTCTTTAAAGAAAATGTATTAAAATAATTTGCTACATAAATACAGCAATTGTGACTGTTTGTTTGCAGA